ACAGATAGAAAAAACTCTAGTATACTTAATAAAGGATCTCTCTAGGCATGTCTTTATGAATATAAAGCTTGAACGTGGCTCTATCATTAATAAAAGAATCAGCTCGTTAGCTCGAGCCGTAATGGAGATATTCGAATTTCTTATCGCACAGTTATTTATGGACCACCCTGTATATGATTATGATACTCAATGGTTTTGTGAATGTTCTCGTAAGAGATTAAGTTTATATTTGTATGAATTATTTGTCGGTCATTCGGCATAAAGTAATTTAAGTGTCGTCATTTAAATAGTGACGACTGCTTTCTTTGCAGTAAGATGATTCACTCTGAGCGAATGGAATTTTATTTTGTTGTTCTCATTCTTCTTCTTCTCATCTCTTAATGTGCCTAGTGAAAGAAAGACGCATAGAGATTAGACACAATGATATATCAGGGCCGATTAATAAGTTATTACTTTATAGGATAGTTAAAATCTGTTTGAAGATGAACTAAATAGAGTTATTTGTTACATTGATTGCATCACATTGAATTAAATACCTGCTGTATTTTTTCAGATTATGCTATATGAAAGCTAAACATGACTATTTTAAACGATAAATATTCTCTTCCTGTACTGTCAATTTATTTTGTTATCATTGTTATTCTTTCAATGTTTGATTGTTTATTATGCCAATAAAAAACTTTTCTCTCTTGTTATCATTAGACATGTGCTGATAAAAGACATGTACTCATTGAAGATTCTTTCACTTTTTTTAGTAAGCCTGAAAAATATGGAACAACGACAATTGATTATTTTAATTTTACTCATTACAGGTACTTACGCAACACAAATCCTCTATTTTGGGGCTGAAGCACCTCCAGAAAGTAGTCTGGATTCAATCACTATCTACGCAAATTTGATTTAGTGAGTGAATTTTTACGATTTCTTATATTTTATTTACTAAATATTTAAAGCTTATGGGTTAATGTAACTGATTGTTCACCACCACCTTGTAACTGTAACGTAAAAACCAATATCACCAGTGATGACCATGTTTCTTCTGTGACATTTTCGATTGATACACCAAATATGGGTTCTGCTTTCATTAATGCGCTTCAACCAAATACATTATATTCATTTAATTTAACTTGTGTTGGAACTGATAAGACAGTCACACTTAACATACGAACAGATTTTGGCCGTCCATTAGCACCACAAAATATTACAGTTAGACTAAATTCTAAACGTCTAAGAATAGCCTGGTCATCTCCTTTTCTACCAGCTGGACCAATTAGTAATTATAAATTAACTATTGATCAACAATCACCTATAGAAAATATATCCAACAGTCAATTGTCGTATGATATGACAGAAGATTATGTGTTCGGACAAAAACATGAATTTTTTCTGGAAGCATGTAATAAAAATAGAAAAAATTATTCTTTATGCTCGAATCCAACTTATGGTAGAACTATATTTTTTATGCCAATGCCAATAACACCTGCACAAAATACAAGTACATCAGAAAACGGCTCAAACACTCTGTTTTTTTCAAAGCTTTTCCCATTTTTCATTTTTTCTTTTCTTCTTTTGAATTAGATGATATTTTAAAACGTTTCTGATTCAACTTTAATTTCTTTGGATAAAATAAATATACATACAAAGCAATACGGAAAATGAAATTGTTTGTTAATTTATAGATATGATTAGAAAAAAGCTGCCCTTGCTTATGATTGATATGTACTGGCTTGTGAATGCTCTTCGTTTTCCTTTTTTTTCCCTGTTTTATTAAAAAAATCAACAGTAGCAGAATTCATCAAAATAGAATTATAGAATTATGTGATGTACTTGCCATGTTTAGTAGTCCCAGATTAATATCGCTTCTTTGAATGGTATCGGATTCGACTGAATCCTGCTTGGAATACATCGAAGCCCAGAACGGGACAGTGTTAGCTGGATCCTATCAGAATGCTGATTATCCGGACGATTTTCGTTAGTCTTATTTGACTAATAGAATCCTGTTCTGCGTAGTCACCAGTTTCAGACTTGATTCAAGCGAATATTGCCAGATCCGACAAGTTTTGCAACAGACTCAAATATTAGCTTTTGTGCGTTTCCTCTTATCAACAACAGGTTTCTTTTTAGAATTGAATATTTTTGGACGAAGTTCAACTAGATTCCTATTCTAACACCAGAATTTTTGTCTTTTATAGCAGCTCATTAACAGTTAGTTTGAGCTCATGCGAGCAATTATCTTGGTTTTTTTGTTTGGTCATATTGTAATAAATGTATTCTGCGAAGCCAGTTAAATAAAAAAAAAACTTTTCAGCAAATATCAGTCGAGCCGAGAATGAGTGTGCTATGAAACGCAAATAGTGAACAAGAAGCATATCTGTTGTGGTCTCACTTTATCTTTAACTAATATTTTTTTTCTCTACAAATAGGTTTGTATGACTTTTTTTTACAATTCCGGTGGAAAATAAAAGATTGTTAATGGAATCGAAAAATTTTGTTAGAGCTCTGCTGTTTTGTACTAAAATGTAGTAGATATTGAATGAATTCCATAGCTAATTCATTATTTCGTGCTAGATGAAAACTGTTGAATATCAATAGGAAGTATTCGCTCTGTCTTATTTAGTAAATGGTTTCTCTTAGGGATTCTGCCATCTTTCCATTAAGCTACAGCGTATGAAATTGCGTTGGTGTTGCTTTTAACGCAAAATTTTTCTTAATCTAGAAAGGAAACAGAAATCTCAATGAACAAGGCTGAGCCCAACAAAGTGAGTCCATGGGATAACAACCTTTGATCCGAGCCATCCTATGGTTTTTTGAAATACGATCTAAAAGGAATGTTGAAATATATAGGGTAGAAATGTGGATCTCGTCCCCGGCAGAGACCGTGGCAAATGACCTCCACAGACTATCATGAACTGAGTATATAACTAGGATCTCGTGAGAATCTATGAGCTGCTTCCTTACTGCATCTCTGTAACATTCTGAAAAAAATGATCTAGGAATGTGTCCCATAATAGACTGAATAAAGCAAATTTCATGTGATTAACAAAAGCAGCTACATCGTGTTTTGTATTGTAATCTCAGCAGAATTGGGTTAACAGCTTTTTTTCTTGAATAATGGTCCATCCATAGGTTGTTTATCTGATTGTATAGAGTAAATTTAAAATACATGAATTAGCAAAGATATATTGATCTGGAATATTTGATGTATGAAAAAATATTTCGTACCGTATTTGAAAATTTGCAAAGCTTTTCAATTATTTCGAATACATCAATATTGTCCTAATTTTTAGTTGGAAAAGTACAAGTAACGTTCATCGAAAATGGATTCACTAGACTGAGGAGATAGTGACATGCATATGGGTACAGCTTTGTATAAACGTGCTTTAAGTAAAGTTCTGGGCAAGTGCAAAAGATAAGTTGACATGTAACACTGATCGATTCCACAAAACTAAGTTTCTTGTAATAGGTTTTTTCAACTCTGCAAAAAAAATGAAAAATAACGCACTTTGTTGGCTTTCAACAAATGCTTTTTTTTAACTTCAAAGAAAGAAAAGAGCAAAGTCAACAGTCAGATGAAGTAACGCTGAACTAGCAAATATTGACAAATATACTGCGATGTTTTTAACACTTTCACACAAGTGGACTGTTAGATATGAGACTTTGAGAGTTTAGTGTATCTAAAGATCAAGGAACCATAAAGGTTTTGAGCAACAGCAACAGTTGTGCGTACATGAAGAAGAAACTTGTCCAGAATTTCGTAAAGAAATACAGTTTTGACATGAAAACGAGCAAAATGTTTTTTCGATATTTCTTGAAAATTGTTCTGATAGTTCTCATTTTTCTTTTGACGATGATGATCAATAAATATTCCAGCAACTAATTTTTCAAGTTAAATTACCATCAAGAAAGAATTATTTACAAGATGATTTCGAGCGCTGAAATAAGGTATCACCTATCAAGACATTTTCAACATTGGTATTATATTGCAAGAACAGAAATAGTGTTATTTAGACGATAGCCTAAGGACGTGTCGTTGTTCTTAAAATCAAATTCTTCTCCTCAAGAATTAACGATAAATAAATGAAACATATGAATATGAACAATGATATTGTAGATATTGTTGTTTTCATTCTCATTGAGTATTAAAGAAATCGAAACATGATTCTTATTTACATGAAACTTGTTAAACTGTCGCCTTGTTTTTTTCCTTATTCAAAGTAACAAATACATGAAAAAGAAAAAAATGATTGACATCTTTAGGATATTGAACTATGACGAATCGTCATAGTGTGGGTGTGGGTGTGTGGGTGTGGGTGTGGGTGTGGGTGTGGGTGTGGGGTGGGGGTGTGGGGGTGGGTGTGGGTGGTGGGTGGGTGTGTGGTGGTGGG